ACGCGCGCGACGAAACAGCCCCGCCACCGCCCCAAGTTACTTTACGACGCGACGTTACAACGAGTCGGTGCCTTTCGACTGATAATATTTTAACGTGATAGGGAAGTTCGTTTAACTTTGCCCGGAAGGGCAAAGCGAAACAGCGCCGGCTGACGAATTAGAAATGACGCTCGAAACGTTCGTCGCCCCGTTTTTCCCCTTTCGCCTTTCCACTTGTTTTCTTGCCACGTTCGACCGAGGAGAACATTTTTAATTAGCTGGCTAATTAGCACGCTGCACGCGCTCATATTGATTAACGCGGCGGTTCTACTTTGTTCGGAAGTTTTATGATTTCCAACAACGCTCGGCGACAATAACCGACTCGTCGCTTCGATAAACAACTCGTTGGAACGACGGCAATAATTTTTTTTCAAAATTAGTGCGTGCCGCGTATTCGGGATTCTTGGTACGAGTAATCTTGGAACGGAAACTAAATACTCTGTGCAACGAAAGTTGATCTATTAATAACAATTAATGTATTACAAACTTTGTGCCTTAAATTATATGTAATGTAATTTTGTATAACAATGAACCATTGCTGTTATAAATCTAAAAATCTTGGTCGTCGACGATGGACGTTGGAAATGAAAATTGTCCTAAGAATACGGGGGAAAATACGGTCGGTATTTTTTTGTCGGAGCGTAATCTAACAAGAGTAATCTAACGACGATGCAAACGAATCGAACACGGCTCGCGCGTCAACTCTTATCTATCACTATTCACTATTGAATCAAAGCGGGGAAGTTGGCGCGTGGAAAAAAGAAGGGAACGAAGTAGGCGACAGGGGGAAAATTGAATTTCATTAATGAAAAACGTTCGCGCGTGGCGAAATCGCCAGAAATCACTGACGCGTTTTATTAGTTATCGCATATCCGCCGGAGATTTCGATTCCCGGGGGTACTTTCAACGCAGACGGAAAAAAAGCTGTTATATTCGCCACGGTCGAATTCTCGGCGAATTTATATCCCGCCTCGATCGCTATTTACGTATAAATAAAATACTTGGGAAGAACGCATTACGCATTTACGTTACGCTGCATGTTAGTTTAGCAAAAGCTTGGATTTAATTGTTTATTACGAACGACATTATTCCGCGAGTTGGAACAGAGCTGGCTAACAGCGAAACACGTGACACATGGCGTTTAATTATCAAAAATATTCCGAGTTAAAGTTCAAAGTACGATTTCGCTCTACCCAGTATCCATCTTCCCTTCTTTGCAATAACAATAATTTAGATTGATGAAACAGTCTAGACACGATTGAGAGAATTAGAATTACTTTTGAACAAACAGAGTTCGTACACGTGACGTAAATAAATATCAAAACGAGAAAGTATCAAATCAGCATCAAAAATTCTCGCTCTCAAGTGCGATTGGGCGTTTTGGTATCAAATTAATCGAACGTCATCACTATTCAACCGTATCTCCGCCGAAGCTTTGTTCAGTTATCGCGAAATCACGAGAACCCTTCTTCTCGATCCGGACTCATTCAACCGGAATCGCTCATCATCTTGGAAACCCGTACCACCGACGGAGCAAGAAGCTTCTTCCCGGGGCGAGGAAGCGATCGTTCAACGTCGTTGACAAGGAGGGGGTGCAAAAACTGCGCGACGGATGCAGCGAGCGCGCGCGCGCGCGCGTTAAACGGTGAAACATTTCAACTGGAATTCGGAGAAACCTGGCTTCACTCCTGAAGGGTGAGGCGGCTCGGTTCTAAGTGGCTCCGAAATTCCAGAAGACGCCGATGCGCCTGAAGTATTAGCCGCTATTTATCAGTTAACTTTCCGTTCTGGTCGACACTTCCTCGAAAATATCGCTTAGTCAGGACTCGGAGCTGGAGGCTGTGGCTGGAGAACAGAAATTCGAGGGAGAGGGAAGCTAAGAATCGAGCTCGAGAGGAAACTTTACCGTTCCAAGGGAGATATATCTTTGGACTTCTTTCGTTTTGACACCGTAGCTTGGTTCGAGAAGTTTTAATGATTCCTACCAGACTGTTCGCCCTAATACGTCCGGGATGACGCCTCGGAGAATTGATGGATCTCCGCAAAACACGCCACTTCGATCCGAAGTATTTTCTCCTATTTCACGTGCGTTTAAATGCCGACAATCGCGTAGAGAAGAAAAAACAACTTGCTACTTGTCGTGGCAAGTAAAAAGTCTCTGACGTGTGTTGAAAATCGTCAAACAGTTGTGCCTGTTCGATTGGAGGATTCACTGCGCTAAAAGTCGCGCGTGGTCGTATCGACGATATTGATTCGCTGATCGCTAATGGCGGACGTTCAGTCGACAGAGTTCAAAGGGGATAGTACTAGAAGTCAATTATGGATGAAAAAAAAACCGACACCGAGGCGGAACATTCGATAGAAAAAACGCATGATCGTGAAAACGCGGGCGATTCGTCGCGGTGAAGAGGCAGGGAGGAACGATGGTTCTGCGACGATGGTGGGCGATCGAAAAGCAATCAAAAACGCGAGAACGCGAGGCCAGTTATCGAGGGCGTCGGCGTTGGAAATGCACGCGGACGAACGTACGGTGCGGATAATCGAACTGGCCACCGGCGTCCGCGTTCCCCGGACCACGTAAAAATGCGAACTTTATCCGCGACATGAATACTAATTGGCGACAGGAGCGTATTCCGCCGCGGCAATGGCTGCGGCCGGCGCACTTTTCCAAAGCTCCGCTTAATTCGGCCCGATGTCATTAACGTTTGTGATTCGCCGATAAATTATTCAGGATAATTGGATTCGGCCCGAGGTATAAAATCCGCCGGTCAATACAGTATGACCTGCCTCGGGGGCCGGCCGATCGCGAAAACCAATACACTCGATCGACACTCTCCGGGGGGACGTTTCACACCGCACTAGCAAACACGACAGAACAATCGGGATCCGATGTTTACTATTTACCGATAGAACGATAGCTTATCACCGAATCGTGAGCAAGGCGCCCTTGAATCCTTGGAAACGCTGCGGAGCACGTGCTCTCCGCTCCGTGATCATCCCGGTGCGTTGCATGCTGATAGATTCGCTGGTTTAGCGGCCGAACGATGGAGCATTGATTGAGAATCATACGAAAGTAACGTAACTTCGATCGTTTGTAAAGCGAGTTTTTCAAGAAATTTTACTACAGTAAAAATTACATATTATAATAAATATTATTATTATAATATAATTCTATAATATTACTAATTTTAATATAGTATAGTATAGATTCAATAGTTTATCTCAAATAACACAGTGAACGATTAAACGTGCAAGTAATTAATATCATTCGTATTTTTATCATAATCATTAAATATAACGATGGCATATTTAAAATAACAGTCGAAAGAAATGAAATTTTTCAAATAAGTGACAACTAAATTGATACAGCTTATAATGAGTGGCACCTTCAATCTTCTGTATAACTTCCACCATACAACTCGATACGATACGAATGATTTATACAATTTTTTTATTTTTACTTACCACCTCTGAATGATGCATTCCTTTATCTCCTGAATTGTGTTAAATTGTTGATTACTGGCGTAAATAGCTCGTGGCAATTTTCCCCAATTTTCTATAATATTTAAATCGAGAGACCTTGCAGGCTAGGGGAGAACAGGTATATTTCGAGGCATATTGTGAGAAATCTCCCCAACGCGAGTTACGTGATCTCTAATTTCAACAGTTCAATTAAATATTTGTACATCACACCATTCGTTCGATGATCAATGAACTGCACATCTGTTCGTCCATTATACCAATTGCAGCCCGTAACATAATACTGTCTCCACCCATTTGTCGACGAATTTTTGACGACTGTTCTTTACTAACATCGTGGAAGTAGCAATTAAAGCTATCAGGGTCGTCCAAACGATATCTTTTCTCGTTGGAATATAAGTATGTATTTTTTGCCGTCGTATCTTCCAACGTGCTCCTTCGCAAAGTTTAAACGATCCATTTTGTGCTTTGCTGCAAGTTCTTCTCAATTTTCCTCCGTACAAGTTGTTCACGTATGTGAATAACACGACGTACATTTCAGACATTAGTTTCAGACGCCTGCTTCTCGAGCAATTTGTCTTGCTATTTGAGGAGGAATACGAGAGACGGTACGAAGAATTCCTCGTTTTTCACGCGTAGTCAATGCAGATGGACGAACAGTGCTCCATTTTTGTCCATAATTTCTCTACATTGTTCGAAGCAATTTTCGAAATAGAAAAGTTTCGATCCTTTAAAGTAAAGAGAACTGCGCGAAAAGAATTTCTTCTTGGCACAACTTCCTTCCGCGTCCCGCGGCTGGCAATACTTTGATGATATTCTGTGGCAGGTTCGGACACGACTGAACACGTTATTGCTTAGAACTCTCCAAGGCGACTGATAATTGTTATGAAAGCGTGTTGTCCTTTCTCCCCACTCGTGTCTCAACATATCCCAAGAAATTGTTGTTGAACGAACTGTTTATGTACAGCGTCGATGAATTCTCGGAAGCTACGAACGTGTCGTTCCAAATTCGGTCCGACAGCGTTGTATATAAATGCGCGTGCTTCTGAATGATGATGGGAAGATGTAAGAAATGGGAACAAGTTTCATCGTGAGACAATACGTTTATCGTTTGCTAATAAAATACCAAAGTTCCTGGAATAAGAATATCGCGATGAATAGATGAAAAAAGCGTCGAGTATAAAAGTTACCAATCGTCACACGTACGCGTCAATTTCTCCGTCTATCACTGTACAATATAATATCACAACGTCGTTAAAAATCATCTAAACTGCGTAGTTTCGTGGATTTATGGAGAGTTTGAAAGTACACAGAATACTTTTTACATTAATTATTTTTATTTCCACTCGTAAAATTTTTCACAAATATCCGCAGTCTAGATAAACGTTATATTGAACTTTAATATTTTTGGCTGTGTCGTTTATTTCAGTTGTTTGTTCAAAGAATATTATTATCTGTATTATTACGTATCAATTTTGCAGGTATACCTGGACTGTGGGCATCGGGCAACGAGGTTCGTTCAACCAGTCAAGGATAGTCAACCCCGAATAGGATTCACGCGACAAGCGAGGGGTGAGTTTGACTATTTCTAGTGTGGCCGGTTACGTGCTTCGATTTTATGATAATGCTGCCTCTCCCGTGCTAACGAGGCGAGCGCTCGTCGCCCGATAACCCGTAACCAAGTGTTACGACATCGTCCTCGAAATTTAATTCTCTTTACTAACGGATTAATTAAGGAACACACACTCTTGTGTGTTGTGAAACCTATGCAACCGCTTGCTCGCCGCGCAACCGGTTCTTCCCCTTTGAGCGATGAAATTACCAGAAAAGGTAAAGAAAAACAAAAGGAGGGGAAAAAAAAGAGAGAACGGAGAAGGGAAGAAAGAAAAGCGAAGGAGAATTGCATCGCGCGGCAATCCTTTGAAAACGATGGCGTAGTTCCGAGTTCTCCGGCTCAGAAAATTCACGGTCCGCGGAATGAAAGGAAAGGAAACAGGCGTCGAAAGCGAACGGCACAAGGGAGAAAGACGCCGCTGCCGGAAGCCAGCAGGCGGAGAGGAGGCCCAAGAGGAGGCCGCAAATTAATTAAGAGCCTGTGAGTTACCGCGCGGCAAATAAGACGAGAGTTGCAGGATGTTCGCCGTCAAAATATTTGGTACAGATTGCTGGGCTCACGCTGGAACGCCGGCGATGACTGTGCGATGTTACTTAGCCCGGGAATGAAATTTTGTCTGAAAATGTTTTAATATAGAGCTCGCCTTCGTGCCTTCGTAAAAATCGAGGACTTTCTTATTTCGTCGTCGTGCCCTCAGTCAACGAGGGATCATATAATTTTGCCTCCGGAGCCACCGGAGAGATTGAATTTGTCATCAGCAACATCGTTTCCTTCGTATATCGAGAGCTAACTGCTTGGACGACTAAGCTTGGAAGAAAAAGTCAAGTAATAATAACCACATATTCGTATCCTTTTAATTGTCGATTCTGAACGATTCACGTTCATATTTCTATCTAGGTTCGATTTCTTTAACCACAATGTTTGGTAAAAGATTCCGGCCGAAGGGTAATTTCATTCTATCGTTGGAATAAAGAGTTTGCAAATGTAACGTGAACTATAATTACAATATAATGCAAAATATCGGAAAAAATTTTTCCAACGGACTCTGGACTCTCCAGACAGTCGCTGCATGCTATTAAAAACGTAAATTGGATAGCAAAGATCCCATTTATCGAGTCGAGGAACATCGAAGAATCGTTTTCGAATGTTTGTCGTCTATCGTGACAACCGTTCGCCAAATCCTTGAGGGAGGAGGGCAGAGAGGGAACCATGCACCGACGTGGCATGATTGATCCTATCGCGGGGAAAACGTAACTGGTATGTACAATGCCGGAAGAACAAAGGCGCCACACGCGCAAGAAGAACGACAGCGAGAGGAGAAAAAGACGTCTGCGTCGATTCTCGGCGGGGGAGGATGCGAAAGCACGTTGCGAATACATGCGCGATGTGTACACAAATGAAGTCGATGGTGTGCACGAGGGCCGCGCATCTCTTCCAAGTGTCTCGGCGACGTCTGAAAGAGGAAGAGAAATAACGGGAACAAGAGACAGCAGGATAGGTTGAAGAATGTGCACTCAACGTGATTGGTGCAGCAGCGTGGCGGTGCACACTGGAGGCTGTCTGCATGAAAACTTGAGAATTTCCACTCGGGCACTCGTATGCGTACACGGGGGCCTCCAACGGTATGCCGCCTCTCGCCACCTCTCGCCATCACCGCCCCATCTACATAGCTCGCTGCGTCTTCTGGAGAACGACCAAACAATGCTCTCCACTTTCTCTCTACCGGCTACCAGCTTGACGGAAAATTTCGAGGAATTCAAGCCGTTATTGCCAGATGTTGTTACCTACGATTCGTGTGACGCGACACGAGTTGACTTGCCATCGACGTTAACTCTATTCTCGGGTCCCGTAATAATTTTTTCAAAACCAGTGGATTTGATACAACGTTACGCAGTAGTATTCGTACGCTCGATTTTAAACTGACGATTTGCGCGACGACGAACAAATGATATGTTTCATTTCGGATCAGTGAAGATACTTCTCCTCTCGAAAGTTTTTTTTTCACCGTCGTTTTGAAGATTAAAGTCTGCCCTTTAAATTTTGTTTCCTCATAACGTTACGAGAGATAAAAATATTGACTATTTTTGATATTGTTTCGCAAATATTTTCGTGTATGCTGTGCACACGAAATTCGATTTCGCAAAAGAAAAGGAAAAATTTTCAAGATAATAAAAAGAAGGGAAATCCTTTCGACACAAGCCCGACTTTATAAATATTTTGGAATGAAAAAAAATGTCGTGTCAAGCGACACGAACGACTAGGTAATACTGTAAAATGAAAAATGCTCGTTCGTTTCGCTTTTATCGTGACGTAATTAAAATTGAAATTAATTATTCCGCCTCGCGGACGAAACATATGACTTTCGTGTTTGACGAGTCAAAAATTCGTACCGCGGAAGTCTGAAGTTCGCAAAAAGAGGAAGATAACAATTCGGAGATAACGATTTCCCCAGAGATGGAAGAAGCTGCTTCTCCCGGAATAATCGAGGGAACTTCGGATTATGGTGGAATTAACGGACCAACTTGGCCAAACTAATTTTTCTTCTCTCTCGGTTCCCGTTGAATCCCCGCAAATTTCAAGTATCGCGGTACTTTTAATCGGTACATTACCACACAAAAGAACAAAAATCTCTCCCACCTCAGACATCCGAGTGACTTAAAGGACGCCGCGGTCTAATTATTCTATGAATATTCGAGGATTCGCGAATTGGCTCCACCGGAGCTAAATAATTCAATTACGTTAAATTCACAAATGGACAGTTAATTAACGAACAGCGAATCGGTAGTCGCTTCCTTCGGAGGAGGATCGCGCGTCGAAAGTAAAAACGGCCAGATCTATTTTAACCGCGACGAATTTATTCACGACCAACGAATTTACTCGACTTTGAGAGTGCTCAGCGTCAGCTGGCCTCTAATCAATTATTCCGATTAATTATTCTCATCAACCACGCACAGTCAATTCTGAATTTACATTTTAACCGCGTGTTCTCCGGTGTTCTTTTTACTTTAGAACGACCATTTACAATCGGCGACGAAATTGGCAATTCGCTGACGACGCAAGATTGGAGTAATTTGTCGCGTTTTAAAGGCACGCTCGCTCACTTATTTATCGACGTGGTGTCATAACTGTGGGAACGAGCGCGCCGGTGAAAATTCGCGCCGCTTAATATTTCACGAACGAGAGGAGAGATTCAGTTTTTTTTTTTTTTTATTTTTAATCGCACCGACAAACCAACGACGCGTCGCGATAAAAATTCTAACGCGCGATTAACCACTTTGTTCTAAACGATCGTAATCTTGTTAACAGGCTTTTCGCGGCTGGTATTCGCGCAGTTTCGCCGTTTCTGGCGCGAGTAATTATGAAAGTTCGCTGTCCGCGCCCCATTGCCGGAGGTTCGTTAAATTTTCAGAGAAGCGGTGACGCGACCCAGCTTCGAAACAACGTGAATCATAATTCTACTCGAAAAGGGAAAAAAGTACATGTGAATGATATTTTTATTGGAATTTAACCTTTGTCCACTTTACTAATGGATCATTAATTCGTGTTAATAATATAATTTTCAATCTTGAGAAAAAAATATGTAGACATTCCATATATTAAAACTATAACGTTCAAATGAGCAAGACGCTCGAGGGTAAAAGAAAGGCATTAGGACAAAATTTATTAAAGTGAAATTAAATAGGACAAAATTTATTAAAATATGCTATGCCACACCAGCAACATCGTACAGCAACGCTCAATTTTCATGATCTGACCAATATATATTGAGACTGGTGAACAGAACGCTACTCTCTTTGGGAACAAGTAATGAATTTGTCAAAGCTAAAGTACCAGGGCGAAGATTCGAGCCAATGCTAGCTGCGTAAACTATCAGGAGAGGGGGAACGTTCCTGGAAGAAATGTTCACAGCGGCAGGTTTGTTGGAGCGGTTGGTCATAACAATAACAGTGTCGTTCCCTAAAACGCGGCTGATACTCAAAATTCTCTTATCGTACACCTCGACCTTCAACTCGCCCCGTTCGATCACCGACTGTCTCTTTATGCTCCTCAGACTCTTGAAAACTTGATAGTGAGAATAGTACTCTGCCTTCTGGTGTTTTAGATTCAAAGTTTTGTAATTCGAATGGACGGGCAGCCAGGTTTTATTATTGCTGGAGAAACCGGCGCTGGTGGTATTGTCCCATTGGTAGGGCGTTCTCTCGGGATCTCTGGATCTCAAGTAGTACCTGGCGGGGCCGGAGTTGCAGCCAGCCGGATCAACCGTCTCGGCGTATGTAAAGTTCCTGTCTTCCATTCCGATCTCGTCGCCGTTGTAAATGACTGCTATGCCAGGCAGAATCATCGCTATCATGGTGATCTCGTCGGCTCGATGTCTACCGAATCTCGAGGCCACGCGATGGTTGTCGTGATTGCCCACCACCCAGTTCGCCACTTTGCCTTCCGGCACAGCCTTCATCCACCTGTCGATCATTCCTTTGAAGTCCATCGCACTGGAGCTGTTGTGCGCGTCGGTGATGAACATGAAGTTGAAGGGAACAGTGGATCCAGAGTTGTAGTACTTAACGGTTAGCTCGTGAGAGGCGTACGCTTCGGTGAGGATCATCTTCGGGTCGGTGTTAGTATGAGCCGAGTGGTCGTCCATCAGCTTTCTCCATGTCTTCAGCACGTCATACGTCTCGTTCAAATCCTTTGTGTAAATGTGCACCAAGCTGTCGTAATCATTTTTGGGAATGTCTGGCCTGTTGGCGCTCGGCTCGTCCCGAAACTGACTGTCCTCGAACATGTGATTGATGGCGTCGATGCGGAAACCGGAGACGCCGCGGTTCATCCAGAAGGTCAACACGTTCTTCATCTCCTCGCGCACGGCCGGGTTCCGGTAGTTCAAGTCCGGTTGACCAGCGGCGAACTGATGCAAATAGTATTGCTTTCGGTCGTTGTTCCACTCCCAGGCGGAACCTTGGAAGTTGCTTAACCAGTTGTTCGGCGGTTGTCTCTTCCCATTGACGTACTTGGCGTTGCGCCAAACGTAATACTCGTCGTACGGCTTGATCTTCTTGATGCTGTTCTTGAACCAGGGATGTTCGTGAGAGCTATGATTAGGCACGAAGTCCATGATCACCTTGAGCCCGAGGGACTTGGCCTTGGCTACCAGTCGGTCGAAATCCGCCAACGTTCCATAAGTTGGATCGATATCCGTGAAGTTGGAGATATCATAGCCGAAATCTACTTGCGGACTCTTGTAAATCGGGGACAACCAGAAAGCGTCCGCGCCGATGTCCGCCACGTGCTCCAACTTGCTCGTAATACCGTTCAGATCGCCGATACCGTCTCCGTTGCTGTCTTTGAAGCTCCTTGGATAGATCTGGTACACGACGGCATTTTTGTACCAGTTCGGGTTCACCGCCGCGCTCAACGCGACGAACAGGAAACACGTTAGAATCGTTAGTCGAAGCATGGTGAATTACTGAGCCAGAGGAGACACTGACTCGAGTCTTTATAAACCGACTAATTGTGCAATCTGTTTAAGTGCACGCTGTGACTACTTGTTTATCGAATTTCTTTCGTTCGATATAAAAGATAAAAAACAATCCAAGTTTCGTGTAGCTGATGACGAGGAGATAATCACGTACTTGAATACTATCACAAACATCGATTGAACGATTTTCGTAGAAAAGAAACTTTCCATGGCAAAATATGTTTACTACGTTCATCATCATCAGTTTGTTCAAGATTATGCTCGTATAAACGAATATGTGCGTAAATGAATGTCAGTTTCTTTTTCACTTAAAAATTATTTCGACAAAGGATTCTTTTCCAATGATATAAATTGCACCTTCTTCTTATAAATGGAATGTAACCACCATGTGAAAATTAACATAAAGAGAACAAACTGGTTATTCGCAGGAAGTTCTACATTTTTCATAAATGGAGTACAATTATCATCTGGTGATAAGATTTTTTGATATGTACAGCCACTCGAGATATACGATAAATTTTTGAAACTGCGCGTGCATGCACGTGCCACAATTTTCATCATGCTTTGGCTAATTACGTGGCCAATTACGTTTCAAATCACTTTCTTTCGCCGAATAAATTCACCGCTCATCAGCATCGTTACAAGTTTCTTTAATCTTATCTGCAGGAATTCAATTATCGACGCGCAAACGTAAAACTCGAGACGCTTTGAGTAGCTTCATTTCCAAAAGGCCAATACTATCGGAGCATCGTTATTCCTTTTTCAACTCAATTAATTGCAAATATATCTCACGTAATAATTTATCAACTGATTACATTAATAAAGTAACAAGTTGCCGATACAATCGTGTTACAGATTTCTGTTTTATGATTTAATAATTTTTCCTCGATAAACAGAGCAAGTTTATTTATAGAGTTATTCATTTATTAATATATATAATTAATCAATTACTAATAATTATTAATATCAATTGTTTGCGTTATTGTCAATATTTGTAGTAAACTCGTTACCACTATTATTCAAAGATATTTATTAATATCGATGATTTGTATATATTTACGAAAAATTAGTTCCATCAAATTCGATATTGCAAAATCGTTTCGCAAAATTTATTAAAACAGCAATAATAGCTTCGTGAATCGTGAAGAAGTTAACTTCAAGAACAGGTCTAGAAAAATTTTCAAAATCCATATAGAAAATGAAGACCTGTCTCTTCGGAAATGATCGATTTTGTCAGACGAAGAGTCCTTTTTCATCGGCATAACGAACCGCCTTGACTGTCTATCGAAACAGATAATGGAAATTGCGTTGTTTCGATGGAAACGGGGAAAGTTCAATCTATTAGGGAACAATGTTAGTTTCAATTTCAAACAGAGACACTCAGCGACAAGAACGGTCTAACAAAGAAAGAATGATACAACATCGTATAAAATGCAGCACGCCACAATAGGTTGAAAGCACTGTTCGGAAGCTATTTCTATACATTGTATTCGGAACGAGGCTTTTATAACCGGCATTACCCATAACAATCCCTAATTGAAGTGAAAAGAAAAACGACTGAATCGACTCGATCGGTATTATTCATACGGGAATAAAGAGTCGAACAAAAATATTTGAAACCCGTGCAGTTGAAAGGCAATTTTTTTTTTTATAAAGACGAAAGGAGGGGAAGGGCGGTTAAAGTACAACGTGACTTTTTCTCATTTTCTTTTTTTTTTTTTTTTTCTTTAATCCACGCAATTCGTAACGATTTATCAAAATTCCAAACCCCCTCGGCAACGCTAAAATTTTCAATCGGTTTCTCCGGTGTGCACCGGCCGCCATTAGAAACACGCAGTTTTGCAAAACAAGCCGCGCATAAAGATAATCAACCGGTGTTCCCTACCTGACTGCCAGTATTCATCAAGTTTGAATGATATCGTTGTCCAGCTAGGAAAAAAGAGAGAGAGAGAGAGAGAGAGAGAGAGAGCATCGCAGTCTATTTTTTTTCATCGATCAATCCGGCTCGCACGCCCACGGATAAAGGAAACGTTTTTCGGACCGGTCGCAAAAATGTTTTCTGACACGCATTGTTTCGATGGTACGCGAGCAACGATATATACGAGTGAAATAGAACATGGCCCGCGTCGATTCCGGAACCACGGTTCAATATCCGACCTTTGCCAGAGGAATGACTTTTTTCGATCATCCAGAGATCATCCGTATGTATAGACCTCTTCCAGACGAGACGCCGAAGACGAAAGAGAAACGAGAAATACTTGATACGTAGAAACATTTCCTTGATTTAATCTTGGCTTTGATATGGGTAGAATTATTGAACAATAACTTTGAAAAGATAATTCAATTAAAACTCGCAGCAATATAATTCAGCATTAAACCCGAAGAACATTAGCAGGGCAGGAAGAAATAAAATTATCTATCCTTTACGTAACTCGAGCCAATCAGTCTCAGTGACTGCGATAATTTTCTGTCGATTAATAAACGTAATAACCCAAATAGAATAAATCCTCGGTAGCAACATTCAGATACAATAAAACGAGGATATATGCGTCGTGCGAAACGACACTTCTACGGGTGATTTACGTTGGAAGATGTATGCGCCCGTAGATTTCGCAGGAAGCAAGGACTAACATGCAGGTACTCGTGCAGAACCGGAGCTGCTGTTGCAGGAACAAAGTTTCAGCTAGAGCATTATTTCTGCGTGTAATTTTCTTCTCGGCTTATTGCGAACTGCATTCATTCATTGTTCATACCGGTGCCGGGGGCAATTTCACCGAAACAATGAATTATTCATACTGTAAACATTCATTCTTTCCCTCCCCCACTTTATAGTTATCAGTCTCTTCAGTGTTCCACTAGTGTTACACTTTTTTTTTTTTTCGGACAGCGTTTTAATCGGAGCCGTTTCATTTTTTAGCATAGAAATAACTATACCGAACTTTGTGCGGCCATTTTTTTCCTTCCCGTCTGCAATTAGTCTCGGAGAGAAAAATAATTGCAGCAAGTAGCATGCAGCGGCGGAGGCTTTACACCGAGGTTGAAAACTGAAGCTTGGTTAAGTAGAATCATCTATTGATCTAACCGAGCCAACGAGGGTTGTATGCATTCAACGAGCACTTGCGTCGTTCTTTTGACATCGATCTTCATTACGCTTGATAATTTAACGACGCATCGTGGTTCAAAGCCTCGAGAATGCGTAGCAGAAGTTATCACGCAGTTTTTAAGATATCAATGTACAAAAATGCACGTAATATATTGAAAAATATGAAGAACATCTAAGATAGAGTATGAATTATTTTACATCAAATCGGTCACTTCTTGACGTCCATATTGGTTTCTTTTAAAGATGAAATACGATCCATTCCACGTCAAATTAGTTCGATTCATCATTTCACCGGTTGCAAATTTATTTAAGAAACGAAGGACTTTTCAATCAATTCATATCACCGAATTATATTTTTTAATATTAAAAGGTACTCGCTTAGTACTCTCTCATCGTTATTTTTCTCATTTCTAGATTCTAGAATCTTATGAAATTTCACGAAATTGAAATAATATGATATATCGTGATAAATCATGATAAATTGTCACCTGCTTCCTAATAGGTTAAGAAATACGAATCTTTGAATCCTGCTCATTTCTACGAAGTCTTACTGCACTCAGGAATTTCTACTATCTAATCTCGATTACTCAAATAAAATTTTTACCAGCGCACTAACTAAATTTGATATCTATCCAAATATATAAAGATACTACTGAATAAAAATTACCCTCTTCTTTTAAAGAAAGAATTGGAACAAAATTTAATTGGTTCTCGTATCTCTTTCAAAAAAAAATTTTTAATTACTCGCCTCGAGTAATGTCCAAAACTTGACAATTGATCAATTTTAGAGAAGCTCGTCGAAGAATGAACGCGTTAAAAAGACCCGTTGGCGAAACAAAGTTACGTGAAAAATAATTATGGGGAACATAGTTGCACAGGCGTTAGCGCGCGGTTAGCCGTAGGCTGAGTTTGGTGTTTCGAGTTAATTTCCATAGATTTGCGGCACGCAGGGTGCGACAGGGTGTTTTTCACGATGTGCGATCGCTTCGAAAGGGCAATGCGAGACGAGGGATTAGCGCAGCTCTGTTATAACGAGGCCACGTTATGTCAGCCACCCTTGCTACCAAGGGATAGTCAAACAACCCCCTCGCAGTTTACGGCCGTAATTAACTTCCTAGGTTATTAGCCCTCGTTCGCGGTTGTACCTTGCTACTCCAGAGGACTTTGTCTCACGACTCTACCCGCGGATAATCCACCCCTTCTTCTCTCTGCATCCTCTTTTTGCAGCTCGACTTTCATCCAACGCAGACTAGCATTTTTCGATGAATGTACGTGTTATTGTATACCACATATGCGACATTTGTCTCTTGGATGTATTTGAAGAAGTATATTCAAATTAAAATATATCTTTCTTTTTAAGCAATTTTTATCTATAAAAACTGTGCTGTATTCATTGACCCACCGTGACAATTTGACATATCCTTCTTGCAAAAGGTATTAACATTTTGTCATGCGTAGGTTACATTTACCTTCGGTCACAAAAAGAATCCTGTCAATTTGACGCGTATAATTCCAACGCGTGTTCAAGTCTCTCGATAGGCGGTACCAGCTTTCAGTGATACCAATTTCTGAAAATGCAAAATATATAGAGAAAGATGGAGGATGAATGTTGCAGCAAATGAAAGTCTAAACTAAAACGGTCGTAACGTTAGACAAAATTGGAGAAGACGAAACGAACTCTGCGCGAGTGTGAATCTCTACGCGCGACTGAACAGAAATTTCGTTGATTTATTACTGATTGAAAGTTAGAAAATTAACAACCAACTCCGTGAATCCCTTAAAGGACGTAACTGCGTAAAGATACGCATGTTCGAAGGTACAAGCATATCTTTTTTTTTTTTTCGATCGGCGTTAAATTTATTTAGCGGAGCGTGTTTTTCAAGGCTCGTAAAACACATAAAACGGC